TCCCCCCCCCCCCCCCCCCCCCAAATGGTAACCCGGTGTGCTCCGTCCCAGCTTTGTAGGGATGCGAGGTCAATGGTCGAAACGACTACGGCATGCACGGGCACAGCTATGAATAAACCGCAAACTCGTCCCCCCCACTCAAGCCTGCCCGCCCCCCTGCCCGCCCACCCCTACGCGCACTACTCGTCCTGCTCGACAGGGCTTCAAGCACGGCTGCAAGACTCCGGCTTGTGAGAGCGCCGGTCTGTGCGCTTGTTCCTCCGGCGGCGGCCCGGTGGTCCCCATCTCCAGTGTCGCGGGACCCCCCTCCGCGGGCGGGGGAGACTCCGCGGCGAAAGAGGCGGCCGCCGCCGACGCGACTCGCACGGGAGCGGGGGGAGAGGCAACGCCTCCTTCACCGCAGGCAACGGCGTAGGATAACGGAGGGGATAGAGTATCACAGGACAGGACGGTGGTTGCTCGCCGGTTTCTCAGTTCGTGGGCCGCGGCGTGTGGAAAAGGGTGAGGATAACCGCGCTTAAAGCGGTAGTTACCGTTTAGTTGGGGTCCGATCGATTATAGAGTGTTGAGTCGGGCGTGTGGCCGAAGAGGGCGCGAGGACACCGCCCTTTGCGATCTTTGTCGGGTGCGGCGGAGGTGAGGGAAGCCGGTCGTCGCTGCGGTCGGCACTGTTTCTCGGGTTTTTGTATGCATGCGCAGGAAAATGAAGTGCTGTAGTAGGCCTGAAGTCACCGGGAGCGTTCGCGCGGTGGCGGCTTGCCGATCTTCCAACTTGCAAACCGTAACCAAAGTTACGGCGCTTTCGCGTGTTTGGCGTGTGTACAGGTGGCGCCTCGTGGTGTTGCGTTCGATGGGGCGTTTCGCTTGCCGATATGTGTTGTCGCCTTTGTGTCCGAACGTGCCCCTCCATCGGCACTGCTGTTGTCATGTTTGCTAGACGGCAGGCACCGTGCAATGTAGGGGTGAAACAAACGCGGCATTTGGTGCTTGGTTCTGTTGTATGTCATGTTTTACCTCCGTTGGTTGTCGTTTGGTGTGCGAGAGGAGGCAGCGGAAGAGTTTAACTCGTCCGAAATTTGCGCATAGCAGATGGACAGCCGGAACAAGACCAGGTGTCATTGCCGGAGTAGGTGCGTGCATGTTGTGGAATACCGTGGATGAGAAACGTTGGGCAAAAAGTCGTTGCGACCAAAGAAGATTTAGTGGGTAGGTTTCAGGACTCCGTGCATCACGATAGTCCAAAAGCGGCTGCTGTTCGGCGGGCGCCCGTAATCGGAGGTAGTGCACCCCGCGAGGCCCGGAACGTAATGCATACCTCTGCTCAATCGGAGAAATGCTTCCCAAGCTCCTCATTTTGTTAAAGTGTTGCGGCTCGATGGTCGCCCTACACCAAACGCATTTTGGTTTACCGCTTGCTCGCATGTGCCTGCTGGATATGTTGATGAGTCGTGCCCAAAGCGTCACCTTCACCATATATACGTACGAACGAACCCTTTCCGCACCGATATTCAAATTCGTGAACAGGGGATGTGGGCAGAGACAGCAAGTAGCCTGTTGGTTTTGTTTTTTTCGTTTGTTCCCGTCCGGTGGAAAACAAGTGGATCGACAAAAGCGCAAAGTTGAGGCACCATCGACTTTACTTGCCCTGTTTTCATATAAAAAGGACTTCCCTCCGAGAATCTTGTCTTACTCGACCGCTCGGGCATTCTTAACAGTTACAAACCTCCGTTCGATCGTCGAGAATAGTTGCAGCTGTCATCGAGGTGTGTGCAGTTAGCCTGTGTGTGATGGCAGGGTCTCCGTTTCATTCGTCATTGGAGCAAGATTACCTACGTCTCTCGCAAAACTGGCAAGTACTCAAGGCGGTGTGGGAAGATGGGCACAAGCAAGAGAAGCACAAGAAAAAACATTTTTCTCCCCTCGAGGGTCAAAGTGCTACGTAAGGAGCGGTCAGGGGAGGGAGGCCGGGTTTGTTCACACATGAATCAGCGCGTCCCACGTACGTTGGGAAGGCACCTCTATGTGCTTCATAGCCATGAGCGGCGCTGCCTTCCTTGCTGGATGCCGATTCCCAGATGCAAGAAGACTCAGCGCATGAAGCCCCCGTATGTCAGGCGAAGCATGTTTATTAAAAAAGTCCTTCAAGACCTTTGCACGGTACCACCCCCCAACCTATATCGCGTCATCGTGTATGCGTATGCAAACCATCGTAACATCGGGCTTGCTTTCTCTTCACGCAAATCACGTTCTTAACCAACCGACTTCGCAGCGACAGCTTACGATATCTGTTCTGCAATTATTGAATACGTGAAGCAAACGTTTTCAGCAGTATACAGCCCAGACAACGGCGCGATTCTTTCACAAGCATCCCCCTCAAGCTGCTTCGGAAAGCCTTTCATGAAAAGGCAGCGTCGTACCGATTTATTGCAGGTGACAAAAAGCGTGTGGGCTTGCGCGGAGCATATCTGGCTCAACGCTACCTGGTAGATGCTTCAAAGCACAAACAACGTCAGCATGGCACGCTCCCGAAAACCTCAACGCGTACCAGGCGTGGTAACCTAGCATAGTCATTTCGATCTCTAATGTGTTGCCGTTGCTGTTGCTGCTGTTGTCACCGACGAACACTATATAAGCTGACCTGCGTGCGCCGCCGTGGACCCGCTCCGTCAATGACAACGGAAATGGCCCGAACACTCACTCTCCGCCCCCAACACCAGCACCATTGGTCACGACGAAGGATTCGCGGAATCCTGTACCGCCAGCAGTGCGCGAATTTGATCGAACAATACTTCGCGGAATACCTGCAGAAGTGCGCGAAATTGATCGGACAGCAAAGTTGACGAAGAATTGCGCGAGCAAACAGACCGTCTCGGCAACGTCGTGGGCAACAAATGCCGATTCCGAACAGGCCGAAAAGCTGAACAACGAAGTATTTTCTTGCTCTTCAAGCGGTGCGGCGCCGCTCTTGCAACTGGAAAAATCACCCCAACCGGATTCGATTTTCAAAGGATCGGATGGCGCGTGCGAATCGACACCACTCCTCCAAGCACCGATACGATAGGCCTGATATCAACCCATCGCCAAGTTAATGCACAGGAGGAGTGGCCTCGATAAAGCTCCAGCTCTGGTCATTGCTGTCCAACTGTTTGGCGGTCCAGCCGAACGGCACTTCCTATTCTGATATCAGTCCATCGAAAGCAACGTAGACAACAGATAGCGCCCGCACTTCAGAACTTAGCAGTTAAGAAATTGAGACTCGCAAAAAATCAGACGCTAAGAACTCGAGCACCAGTTGTGAGCTCGGTTAATAGCTAGTAAGGCACAAGGGCGAGGAGAAGGCCAGCCGACAACGAGCCATCAAACGAGGAGACAGCGGGCCCAAAAATAGTCTAGTACGGCACCAATCAACGGGGCGGGAGGGGGGCGGGAGGAAACGGCGCGGGAAGAAAGCAAGCGAGAAGAGACCGACCGCGTGACGTGACATGTTGCGGTTGAATTTCAGCGACTAGTTTTTCTGTTGCCCTCTCCCCCGTTTGCTGTCGCGTTCAGACTGTCTCTACGGATATCCCTGTCTCTGTGCGAGTTTGTTTATGTCCTCGTCTGTCTTTGGTTTATTTCGTTTTTGTTTTGTTTTTTTACTGGCACGTACTGTTGATCCTTGGGGTCCTTCCGGAAGGCTACCCCCCAGGCTGGTGGTGCGCACGTTCC